TATATATATATATATATATATATATATATATATATATATAAATGCATGTGGGTACTCAAATGAAAGCTCTTGATGAGCGTAACTTCAGGATGAGCTTATATCTTTACAAACTTCAATATTTAAGAAAGTACAGTGCAATGTTTATTATTAAATAAAGCAAAATTTTATTTATTTATTAAATCTTATCAAACATAAACAAATTCTTCTATCAGTGTAGCAAAATTTTTCTTAGTTAGTCAGATTTTAATGAAATCTACTAACTAGGAGCAGTTACAGCAATGCCATCGTAGAGTAAAAATGGAGCTACAATAGCCGTAGCAGCAGCAGTAGCAGCATCAAAATCTTTATCGACGTTCAACGACCCCGACCCTGGCTAGACGGTCGAGCCAAGCATTGAGGGTGGCCGGGTTCAGGATATACGCATCCACCAGTACTAGTGGTACTATGTACCGCTAGAGTTTAGTACTATAGCTCGGAGAGTTTAGTGTGGAGTGTGTACAATTGGTAGTAGTATGTAGTATGTAGTATGTAGTTGAAGAGTAAACGAGAGACAAGGACAACGATGACTGGATTGCGTTGGCCCGTATGCTCTCACGCCGGCGCGGCTTCTGGATTCTCCGAGTCTAGGGTTGAGGATAAAGGACGTACTGGGTATAACATTGAAGGATAGAACAGGGCGCTGGGTGTTGGGCGTTGGGTGCTGGGTTTAGGGTGTAGGGTACTGCGGATGGTTATGGTAGTACTGCTGGTGCTAGTATTGAAGTGGTTGGGTGTCCCTACCAGCCAAAGGACGAAGAGAGGGCGTCGCCGCCCGTCAGGTCGTCAACCTCTCTGCAGCACTGCGACGTCGGGGTCGTTATTATTTCCTCCTCACCTCCTCTTTCTCTCTCCTTTTTATCTACATACACCATATAATATTAACGCTAAATGGATCGGTATTTTTACTCTATACAGATAGATTTTATGTTTGTAGTGAGACACGAGGTACTCTTGGTATTGAGGGTAGCTTAAATCGTAGTCAACGCCGCCTTTTTCCCTGGATAACTTCAATCCCAGCCTCTGTCCTACACTTTTCGCACCTTTTCTTTTGTCAAATAGAATAGAAATTTTTTGAATTATTGATTATGTTTTTTTATTGCAGTTTAATTGAATTTTTATTTAGGAAAATTATTTAATATGTTTTTTTGAAACACCAGAAGACTCGTGGATGTTTTTAAGGATTTGTTTAAAAATTGAGCGATATTTTCAATTATACAATAATTGCAAATATATAAAAATATAAAAATCACAAAACTTAATTTTTCTAATAAAAAAAAAGCCTGGGACAGAAAAAAACCTCCTTACAGAGAATCACCTATATGTAGGCTCAGACGGAG